TTTTCGTTCTTTTAGGGCGCCACCTAGTGACCATTGGAATAGCTACATAGACGTAAAAGAAATGCAGCAGCGTTGGTTTTAAATGAGTCTGCAAGCAGCGGTTATGACAGTGTAGGAAGTCCATTGGTTGTAAAATTTCCACTGGTTGCCAGAAGTAACGGAGGAAAAAAGAAAAACGGCAGAGCAATAGCTAGAGCCCATGGTGCAATGAAGCGCCTGAAAGTAGAAAAGGAAAAACTTCTTAAAAAACTAACAGCAAAGTCCAGACAACTTGAAAGACTTAGCACTAAAATTAATTCAGGAACTAGAATGCCATTTGAACTTTTTAGAACTGAGAGAATTAATTTTGACACCTAGAATGTGGGAGAATGTGAAAAGAAAGTTAAGTTGAAAAATGTGGTGTTTACGAAATTTAAGGAGCAAGAGCTTCTACGTCTTACGTGTATTAGAGACAGTCCATAGCTAGACTAGTATCTGGAAATTTGTATGAGAAATTCAGACTCAATCTTGCTATAAGTAAAGTAACTGTTATATGTAGAAAGACTTTGAAAAAAGTGTTCACAGTGGAGAAGACCAGACAAACGTATTTGTGCGGTCAAACAGCTTGCTCTAGATGTCGAAGAATGTCATGAGCAGAGAAGATAACAGTCGCATGCAACCAGGAAAAGTGGATGTCATTAAAAGTTCAAAGGGAGAAAAGAAGCAAACTATCATCCCAACAAATTATCTAGCTGATTTACATAAGAAATTCTCTGCAGAGAACCCTCAGGTGAAAATTTCGTTGGCTACTTTTTGCTTCTACGTCCTCGTCTTAATTTACGTTTTTTGATTAAGTTAAGCCTTTCAATTGATATTTTATAGTGTGTCTTTCTAAGTTGTGATGTTATACTATTGTTTCAGAAAAGGGAGAAGGTTTGGTACCATTAAAACGTTTAATCCCGCTGCAAATGTTTGCACCTGTCCTAAATCAGGAATCTGATGTACAGTAGTTGTCGTCTGTTTAAGTAGTTCGTACGTGTTTCTCGTTTCTCGTTTTTATATAGATTAGACCGTTGGTTTTCCCGTTTGAATGGTTTTACACTAGTAATTTTTTGGGGCCCTTTATAGCTTGCTGTTTGTTGTGAGCCACTGCTCGTGTTGAAGGCCGTACCTTGACCTATAATGGTTTACTTTTATAAATTATTACTTAGATGGAGGGTTGTCTCATTTGCACTCATACCACATCTTCCTATATCTAAGTTCATTTCCGGAGCATCCTGCCTTTATATAAAACATCGGAATATGGCTCTCAAGGGTCAAACCCTAAATAAAAACAATATTTTTGTTAGAAAAAATCCTGAACACTTAATAGGTCAAAGTCTTGATATAGATCGAGATTCTGGAAAATCAAGTTACTTATCGAGTATGGAAACAAACCAACGTTGAAGAAAAAAAGAAAATTAAAATTATAGAAAATACAGTGGAGAAGAATGACTTAATAGAGATGATGAAAATTGAAATGGATCAGTGTTCAAGTCACATTGACAGAGTGAGGTGTCAGTATAGAGAATCAAACCATTGAAAGAAAGCCTTAAAAGAGAATTTTTTTTTAGTCCAAATGAACTTCACAGAAAACTATTCATGCAAGTCTTTATCAGAAATACAGAGTGCCTTTTGGAATCAGACCTCAGTCACCATACACATAGTAGTTGTTTATTTCCGTGGCCGATCAAAACCATAACACAACAGCATCGCAATAATTTCCGATGAATTTTCTGATTATACCAGTACAGTGTGCACTTTTCTTGATATTTTAATTCCAGTCTTGAAGGAAATCTGTCTAAATATCGAGTGTGTCCACTATTGGACCGATAGCCAATCCAGCCAATACCGCAATAAAACCAGTCAATGGCGGACGAAGCAGTGAAAAGAGGAACAGTTGTCATGAATACGAATGGATTATTTGTCACGGATGTTAAGCAAAAAACAATCAATCAATCAATCATATTAAAACTAATGCAAGCTCCATAGATAGAATGAAGGTTAGGTTAATTTTCAGAAATGATCAAGAAAATAGCGATTTTTGAAGTTAATAATTTCCAATTCCAGTTCGTCAATATACACTTTGTTGATATATTTTCCGACATTATCTGATGGATATCTTTCTAAGTCTTACTTCATGCATTGTATATTCAGAGGTAAATTTTATCGCATTATTTTTGTTTTGAAGATGTCAGTTTCAGTGAACTTTCTGCTGGAATCAGAGTTGTGTCCCTTCCATGAACAAAATATTTGTATCTGCGTTGGTCACTCTGTTTTATAAAACAAAGTTGGACCAATTCTTTGAATCTGTCTTATTATACCCCCGCTTTAAAACAAAAATAAGGGTATACTGTTTTACCTCTGTCTGTCTGTCTGTCCGTCCGTCCGTCAGTCCCATGAATATTTTTCGTCGCATCTTTCTCAGGAACTACATCATTAGATTTCTGAAATTTGTTTTCAGGGTTAATATAAGTCAGCTATACCGTGTGATGCGTTTTCAGATTCATCACTCAACAACTTCCTGGGCGGGTGGGGACATCATCAATGCGCAGTAGCTCGCAGTTTCACTTGTTATTTTTATGTTTCTATACTACTCTATGATGAGCGAAACTTGATTGTTTGTATTCCAACATATCTTTTTGATTTCTTTAATATCAACATCTGATTACATTCTTGAGTAGGTAGTTTTACAGAAATTCTTGATTACACCCATGATTACTGTTAACCGGAAACATATCACGTGGTGCATAAAAAGAGGCAAATAATTACAGATGTTCTAATGTCGTAAATCGATTTACAATATACATGTACAAATAATGATAATATCAACTATCGAGGAAATTGCATGTACTCTTAACGGAGAGAGACAGTGTGTGTCGAGAAGGAAAGCACCCCCCGCTATGTGTTTCCACACGCAGTCCAAATGTCGCACACATTTGGTTACTGCTTAGACAGACTATTATACTTATAACCTTTGGGTTTTAATATGCTGGGTTTGATCGTTCCTGGAAAGGCTTCTGATGCGTTAACTTCATAACTTGTTATTTTCATTTTTTTTATATCTAAAAATATAAGACAGCGAAATCATGCTGCTTGTAAGTTGAGACACATATTCAAATATACCGTTCCGCTGCTGGGTATACGAAACTCCAGTTCGGATAGCTGGGGGAATACAGTTGAGGGTGCTTTTCGATTTCCATCCAATTTACCAATAATGTGTGACAAATTTTTTAGGATGGTAAGTTAGCACAAATGAGATTCTTTATCCTACTTCATCTCATACTCAACGTTAAAACGGAATAAAAATAATAAAAGATGGTAAATCAGTACTCCAATACTTGATATCTCATGTATACTCTGATGTTACACAGCGTAATTACCCAATTACACATATACAATATTCCTCTTATATGATTGACGCTTAAGCTCTTATTGACTGTTTCGTAAAACTGTTCACTTATGAATTTTAATAATTGAACACTTAGCCTTTTATTTATAAGCAAACATGAAATAGGCACTACTTTTATTATTTCATTAATTTTGATAGCGATTTCAAGTACACACATATTATTAAGTCACTATTGGCCGATCTTAAATAACTAAAATATACAAACAGCTATTATTACAAGTATTGAAAATACTAAACATTTGTGTATTATTCAGAATTATCAGTACAAAATGTGTTCTTAAAGGATCACTAGTCCTTCACCTTTCATTTGATACCTTAATAACTAAAATATATTCTTCAAAGTTTTATATTTACACTTATGCGAAGGAATCATTTTGTTTTAAATATGTACTACTTTCCAGTATGCCCTTTTTTACCGTGCGGATTTGGTGGTGATACATCTTTCAAAGTCGATCCCAACTGGTGCTAGGGACCGTCTTAAACTTGCAGTGAGGGGATTTTTTTTTTTTTGCTCTTTGTTGAAGGCCTTACTGTGACTTTGTGATGATCAGCAAAAAAAGGCTGTTCGTTTGCTTTTTTGGTTTTTTGTTTGCTGTGCATGTTCTGATTTTTTGTCATGGATAGATATCCCATATCCTTTTGTTTTTCAATAATATATTCTTAAGTTAGTCCTGTATGCACGGTTTTTTTTTTACATTTATCACGAATCTATAACGTAGTATCGACAAATAATATTTCATTCAGTGATTGTTGATCGCAAGCTAATTAACATTTGAGTTTGTTGCCGAAGTTTTCCGGTTAGTGACATTGATAAACAATCACGTGGAGCACATGATCAATAAGTGAATTGATAGAGCCATGATCATTTTTTTATAATTTCCATGCGTTCCAATTTGCTTGCTCAACTTTTCCTGAACAATTCTTAAATGCTTTGGTGTATTTAATTTGTCCTTTAAGAATCAGTTATTACTATTTACCCCCCAGTGCAACTTTGTTTACATTTTTCATTACGGGTTTTCCCTCGCTTTTGCGCTGTGCGGTGGCCGAAGTTCTATCGAGAGGTCTCGTAGTTAAGGTCAATGAATACGGAAAATATCGGCGAATTAAAGAGTATGAGAAGACAGTAATTCAAATGCAGTACTTTTATGAAGATTTAAATAATATAAAGGATTTTCTTTCACAAGAAAGTTTACCTGCACTTGTTTAATAGTAAGTTTAACCTTTCAAGTATATAAAACATATTCATTGTTTTTTTTTTTAATTTGAAGTTTCATAATACTTTAAAGCGTACAATAAAATATTTAAAAAATTAGAAGTTGAGTGAATGCCCATCACACAGTTTTACAGAATAACAATACGTTTTATTGTGTTTATTTTTAATCACTTTAACAGTAGTACCAAGTAATGACTAAAGCAGACAGAAATGTTATAATTATTGATCGTCTACTACGATATATGTGATTTGATACTACACATATCTATCAACTACACAATTTTATCGCATTATCAACATATATAAAACTGTTTAAAAAGATAAATCCATATTGACTTATCTCTGTTCATTATTCATGTTTATATTTACTGGACCCTTGATATGTGTGGGTGTGTATATTGATTTATATGTGTACAGAATTATACTTACACCTAAAATTGAACAAACATATAATTGTGAATAATGTCCGATTCTCTCGGAAATTATGTTCCACAGAAAAGTAGTAAGTACTAAGCTGTCTTTTTTATTTGATAAAAATTTGTTAATGACCCATATCTGTATGTAATAAATTTTACTCTAAACACTTATTATTTATTATTATTTATGTTAAGAAGATTTTCCAAATGTTTTTTACAAAATCCGCTTGATTCAACAAAGTTAGGGATGTCTATCCCAAGGATAGAAATGTAAAGAAAAAAACAAAACGAAATTTTGAGTAATTGTCTGAAATTTTGACCCCATTTATCTCTTAAAATAGCACATGAAGGTATATTTTTTTTACATATTTGAATTGACTAGGTAAAAAAATAGCTTAGATGAAATTTATTTGTTCAGTGTATGTTCACTGGTGTTAATTTGTTTTTTTTTTATTGAGTTAAGACATCTCAATTGATATTTTATAGTGTGTCTTTCTATGTTGTGATGTTACACTATTGTTTCAGATAAGGGTGAAGGTTTGGTACCATTAAAACGTTTAAACACGATGCAATTGTTTGCATCTGTCCTAAGTCAGGAATCTGATGTTCAGTAGTTGTCGTTTGTTGATGTGGTTCATAAGTGTTTCTCGTTTCTCGTTTTTATATAGATATATAGATATTGGTTTTCCCGTTTGAATGGTTTTACGCTAGTAATTTTTTGGGCCCTTTATAGCTTGCTGTTCTGTGTGAGCCAAGGCTCCGTGTTGAATACCATACTTTGACCTATAATGGTTTACTTTTATAAATTTTGACTTGGATGGAGAGTTGACTCATTGGCACTAATACCACATCTTCTTATATCTATGTATGCAAATTTTCCTAAAACTCACCGTGGGATCAAAACTGTATCGTATGCCCTAAAGCAACCAATAATCAATCAATCAATCAATCAATCAATCAATCAATTAATCAATCATTCTTCATAAGAACCTCATGTATACCGTCTGCATCATATGAATCAAGGAAAAAGTAGGCAGATAAGGGCACTGCTGGTTCATATGGGAATGATTGTTTATTTCAACATTATTGTTTTGTAGATGAAAGTGAGGGAAAACAGTCTTTCACTACAAAAGACGAAAATGGTAGTAAGTACTGTTTAATGCAAATGCAATTTGTTTGTAACGTCTATTGTGACTGGGCGACGAGATTTTGTTGAGAGGGTTAAATCCACAGTTTACTTTCTTTTTAATCTAAGAAAACTGCTTTGTTAATTCAAAAATAACTAGTATAATTTTGGGATCGTCAATCATAATCGAATAGTCATATTCTTGTCTTGCCTGCAACAAATGTCATGAAGGCGAAAGAAAGTAATCTAACATTCTGTCGTCTAGTTCTCGGAATGGTCTACAATAGGGTACACTCTGTGGTTTATGTGATTTTATAGAATACAAACGAACCATCAAACATTCATTTAAGTTTACGAAAAAAAAGTTTTTATATTTTATGTAGAAAAGACAGTATTCAATGTGGAAATGATTTCTTTTCTTCATTCAACGAATTTACATTTTTAAAGTTAGTAAGTATTATGACAACGTTTGAGGTTTACGTTTTTTAGGCAAGAACGACTTTGTTAAACCATCTAACATTTTTTTTAAACATACACATAGCATCTCTCATAATCAGAAGCAATATTTTAGAAACATTTTTTTTAAGTTTTCAATATTGCATTAATATATGAAATAAATTTATCTAAAATATGTGGCGTAATTAGCTACCTTGAATGCACTGGTTTGTTAAGCCTTTCCATTCCAATTATTTTTTTTTATTTTAGTGTTAACAACCACATTTAATTTATTATTTTTTTTATATTTTGATACTTCTGATATTGCATCATAGAAAAGTCTGTTGAATGCCTTACCTGTAGGGATAATTCTGTAACTTAAATTCAGAATGCCTGTGAAAGACCGGAGAACACGTAACGTTGTTCTTTTTTCACCTATCAAGTTTGAAATAATTGTTTTCAATTTCAGCAATTTGTCTTTGGGAATTTTGACTGACATTTGCGTGAGGATTGCTAAAGAAGTTAATTTATATGTAGTGTAATCAACTTAGACAAGCGCGTCTGCTTTGACCAGCTAATGAACTATTGCATTATTACTTTTATAATTACAATCAAGTACGGGCAAGGATAAGTGGTTTGCATCCCTACGTTCGCGCAATTCGGGAGTAAAAGTAAAGACTTGTCGGTTCGGAGAAATCTGAGTATGAATTATATATCCAAGTCGTTCTGCATACTGTTACGTTTTAAACTATCTGACTCAGCGTGTCGGTCTTATATAAATATATCAGACCTCAATATGTCCTCGTCCCTATATGCTTGTCACATATGCCACTTAACTCCGAACACCAATCTCTAGCACTAACATTTAATGTATGTAGGATTTTTAGATTTGATTTTACACATAAATTGTTTTATTTCAGGGACAATAATATTTGTAATATCAATTCTTCCTTCGTTGTAGAAGGAGGTGCATCAAAGAATCCATTTCGAGGAGATTATGGAAATCTTGTTTCCCCACCACCACCACAGCCGCCACCGCCACCACCGCCGAAAAATCCGAACACGTAGATACAAGTGTGTGTATTGTTAAACTATATAATGATTGAATAAATATTTTTAAGAACTAACGAGGAATATTGTCGAGTTATAATTCTTACATATATGCCTCAATGCAACAAGCGGATAAGTATAGATATTATTCAGTGATTTACGCAATTAATATACATCACTGTCAAATAATTTTTTCTACGTATGAGTTGTTTTCCATTGCCAGCAAATATGAAATTAAAAAAACAGTCGGATATTGAAAATTAACTATTCATTCAATATTTCCTGTCTATGTTCTCTCTCTTTCTGTCTGCCCTTGTTTGTATCGCCTAAATTTGTAACATATTTCTTTCATGTTGAACGTCCCTGGGTATCCAGTTTTCGGTATCAAGTCCAGCAGTTTCTTTCTCCTAATGCATCCGAAAACATCTCTGCCAAATTAACAGTATGTCCGAGTTTTCTTGTTGCTGGCACATTGCAACCTACACACACGAGCATGAATAATAGGCGAGTTAAATTTCTGGACTTTCATATTTTAATTCGTCAACCAGGCCTAGGAGAGCAACAAAAGTCTGAAGTGGTGCTTCACCGCCAATATCCGGAATGATTCCCCAATAACATTTTTTTAGTTAAATCTTTCCTTTCTTGGCAAATTTAAAACAGCATCATACATTACACCAGCAAGAGTACCTGACATGTTCACAGTGCTAACTCAAGTTAAGGTCAAGGAACAGTAAATGGGCTATGTCACAGATTTTGGTAAAAGTTTACATACAACATTGGCTCGTTGAATAATATCTGAAAATCGACAAAAAAGGCCTTTATCTCTTTTATTTTCTGAAATATGGCAGATTGAGTTCTTTCAAAATAGGTCAGCATGTGTATAGGAAGCGCATAACATCGACTAAAATCGTTCATAAATATGTTTTTAGATATTTTTAATGCATAGATTTTTCTTTAAAAACTATATGTTGTTGATGCATAAATTTTCGTAAAATAATCATTTGATCACCGACTAAATTTTGGGTGTTTTTGGTGTATTTACCAATCTGTTACCTTGTTGGAAGTGGAAAACATCAAAATCGACGTTTAACGGCCTACAACGCGATGACGCTACGATAATTTCGACGTTTTGTGGTATGTTTTCACCCAGTACACCACTTTGATTAATGTAGACCGTTAAAACGAAGTTTGTGACCCTATCATTATTTTACATCATTAAAATGGAAATTTGTGTATCACCGGCATATAGTTTTTAAAGAAAAACATAATGATTTAAAAATTGGAAATTTGATGATTTTAAGATAAATTTAAGGACGTTTTTCGACGATTGGATATGCTTTTTATAAAAATGTTCAACTATTTTGAAATAATTCAATCGGTAATATTTCAGAAAATGAAAGAGATGAAGGCATTTTTTCCGATTTTCAGTTAAAAGGTCATCGATCCAAAGGTGTATGCCAACTTTTGAGAAAATCTAAGACATAGCCCATTTACTGTAACTTTACATTAAGGTTTAACATAATGCCGTTAAATTCTTTTTGTCAGATAAATGAAATTCTTTCCAAATTTTCACATCGAGGACATCTGTCATAATACCCGTCTCCTGTCTTCGTTCCCTCCATTTTTCGCATTTACGTTCAAAATCAGGTACTCCTGATAGTTTTTCCAATGATTGTTCAATCGATTTGTAACAGTAAGTTTTAAACGGATACAAACATGTTGATTCGTCCGAGATAATTTCACAAGCTTAAGAATAATTTCTCCACATGGTCTTCGTCTCGCTATCTGAGTGTGATTTGGAATTACAACGTTAGTTCATGTCGCCGATTGATTTTCACCTTCAATAATTTTTACGCAGTCCTCATATTTGAAGAAAGCGAAACATTTTCTACAAATGACATATTTCGAAAAGTTATCTTTTTTCAATCACAGGTTTTTGTACAGTTTGTTAATAGTGTGTGGGAACACTGTAGTAGTGCTTAAAGGGAAGACGTTTTTTGCCGTAAAAAGACAAAAAAAAATCGTACGTAAAAAAGCATGTTCGCTAAAACGGAGTCTGGTAAAACATTTATAGATTGCCAGGAACTTAGAAAATATACACAACCATTGACAAAGTAACGCAATCTGTTGATCAAACATCAGTATTTGAGTCGTATTTTCCTTAATTATCACCTCTTTCTATCGCAAGAATGAAATCGCCGTCGATGTCTGATAAACTGATATCGGACCACAATTCCTCGTCTTCGTCGTCATCAGATTCCGTTAGGTTATGTTCAATCCAATGCCTCTTTGTTACTGTACTTAAATTATGTTCTATTTTCAGTCCTTATTTCTCATTCCTGTCTGATGATTCTACGTCATATAGGACCTGTACAGATGCATGATCCCTAGTTTCAGTTTAGTTTGATTGTACATATAACCACTTTTTTCGTGAACATTTTTCAGTTTATGAGTTTCAAATTATCTCGGCACAAATAAATCTCCGCAACCTGGGCATAGTTTCCTTTTTTTGCTTATTTCTGTAGATTTGTCGTTTTGTTGTTGATATTTTCTTTTTATGAAAAAAGAAGACAATAGAAATAAAGAAACAATTAACATATAGACCACCATAAACTTAAAGCACTGTTTACTTACCAAAGTGTAGCCGGATTATTATTGATGTCAGACTCAATTAAAAGAGCATTTTGTCTTGTAGGTAACTCCATTATTGTTGTTTAAGACTAACTGAACTGCATTCATATTGTTACCTTTTAACACTAAATCCTGGTATTTCATGTTTATAGGAATCTGATGTTCAGTAGTTGTCGTTTGTTGATGTGATTCATAAGTGTTTCTCGTTTTTTATATAGATTAGACCGTTAGGTTTTCCCGTTTGAATGGTTTTACACTAGTAATTTTTGGGGCCCTTTATAGCTTACTGTTCGATGTGAGCCAAGGCTCCGTGTTGAAGACCGTACTTTGACCTATAAAGGTTTACTTTTATAAATTTTTACTTAGATGGAGAGTTGTCTCATTGGCACTCATACCACATCTTCTTATATCTAATTATAATTTACTTCAACTGCAAGAAACAAAACAGATGTTTATTTGTAATTTAAATTATATTTTTATTTCTTCAAGCATAATTTTGAGACACGTATTATATTAAATAGGCCTGTGGAAAAATACTTGCAGTAAATTGCAAATTAGTACATAGTAAGAAACGTATAAAAAGATACTTTGTAAACAATTTTCTTTAATTTGTCTGTGTTAGAAAAATGAAATAAAAAAAAGCTTAGAAAATTTTAGAAAAATTAGACCAAAAAGAATATGCTGTGAAACTGGACGAATTTATATACCGTTATTTGAACTTTTCGACGACGCAGAGATGTGGTTTCCGTTTGATGTCCAGTTTGAAAACTTTTAGATTTCACCAAATCACAATAGCATTTTGCCGGATTTCAAGCGTTATCGGTTACACGACAGGAATCTAGGCATACCTATTTTTCTTTTTTAATGCCGTTGTAGAAAATCAGACCAATGTTTAACGCCTCTTCATGTTTATACACTGTTTTAAATTTTCAAACAAATTGACTTACCAGGTTATTATACCCCCGCTTTAAAAACGTGGGAGTAAACTGTTTTACCTCTGTCTGTCCGTACGTCCATCTGTCCGTCCATCCATCCGTCTGTCCGTCCCATGGATATTTTTTCGTCGCATTTTTCTCAGGAACTACACCATAAGGATTTCTGAAATTTGGTTTCAAGGTTTATATAAGTCAGCTATACCGTGTGATGCGTTTTCAGATTCATCAGTCAACAACTTCGTGTTTACCGAACACTTACATATTTTTACACTATTAAAATTATCCACTTGCGGCGAGGGTATCATCAGTGAGCAGTAGCTCGCAGTTTCACTTGTTTAAAATACCAACCAATGCTTAAAACGAATTGTTTGATGTTTTAATTTAGCAACAAATATTTTCAATTATAATCTATTATACTTCTAAACATTTACAAAGATGACAAAATGTTAAACAAATTAAACGAGAAATCCAAAGAATTATAGATTATTTACAATATTTGTTCATAAATGCACAGTTATGAACAAAGGTGTTGATAACATATTATAAAAACTTAACAACACAAATGTTGAAACTAATTTAATAAAAATTAAAATATAGACGCCACCCTCATCAGTGCTTACTTCTTATAACTACTTATTATAGAACGGAACAGCAAGCTGCAATCTATTCAGAATGTTAAATGATGATTTTAGGTAACACAGTGTAATCTTTCTCTTAAAGATGCTTCTGTGAATCCTAAATACCTAGTATCTGTTTCATGTTCAAGCTGTTAACGTAAAGTCTAATTAATTTCGCTAAGAAACTCTTCTTATACATTTTTTACTTCATTTATATTTCAATGTTGAAAAGTTCTAGTTTCTCTTTGAAAAATCTATCTTCCATTTCCAATAAATGTTCACTTTACTGGCATTTTAAATTAATGTCTTTCTATTTTAAAATTATTTTTAAGACTATATTTGTCTATTTAACATTTTGTCTCCATTTTACTGTACAAAAGGTTTTTATTGTTTTCTTCACTTGATTTTAATTTGTCAAAGAACACTGTTTGCATAACTTTCTTTTAGCTCTTTATAAAAATATTAGAATGAATTCTTGTCTTGTTTTTTTTATTTGTGTTAGATGCATTTTCTACATTTCTACAAAGATGCCATTTAATTTCATTGCATTTCCTGCATTTATAATGTTCCTCATAAAATAAGGTCCAACTGCTGAAAGATCCCCTTCCTAAATTATTGACATGTATCCATTTGCATAATATATATAATATATTGGTGAAAATAAGATACACCTCGTGTAATCTAATACATGAAAACCATGAAAATGAAACGCTTCTGCTGAACCTGAACCATTTAGATAAAAAAAAAAAATCATCATATGATTCAGGGGTATTTCATTACTTCAATGATTGTACGTTAATAAAAATATTTTGATCTTACTTTTATTAACAAGACCAATACCGTGTCGGGTTCTGTGTCGCTGCGTGCAAATGATTGAAGTAGCATGCA